CCGATGCTCTTCCCTGGAATCAGCGCATGGAGCTTGCCCGCCTGCCCTCAGCGATGAATGGAAAAGGAAGGCAGGCAGACGGGCAAGGAAGAGCTCCGCCGACCTCGCCACAGCGCTCTCGTCTTCGGTTGCCTCGGCACCCGGCTCGCCATTGCCTACCGACCGAGGAGCGGAGCGAGGCTGGCCCGGCGGCGTTGTTGTGGCGACGGCGGCAGCTCCCAGTTCCTCTCGTTTCTCTTCCTTTTCCTTCTTCGACTACTCGCTCGGCCGTCTCCGCGCCCGCTTGCCACTCCTTGTTTTTTAATTATTATTTCTCCATTCCAACAGTAAATAAACAGCAACCTCGCTTTCTCTCCCATTCAGACACGCACATTTGCTCTTGCTCACACACATCTGAAAGAAGCGTTTCCACACGTATTTTATATTCATATTTTATTCATCTGTGTGGGTGCATAATTTTTCATATTTACATATCAGAATGTAAATCTATGATCCTTGCCCTTCATGGGTCATAAATGCTGCCAGAAAAGGATGGTTGGTTGGGTAATAGAGGAGTCGTGAACGCCTCCACGTCAGGGCAGGATAGGATCCCATCATGCTTGAAAAAGGCAATAGTAAGACCGCTGTTCAAAACGCCGTTTGGACACCACAATACCAAATAATTTCTGACCACCATCTAATATCCCATTCTTGGGGAAGGAGGTACAGTGGTTTTTGGCCTTTCAGCTCCAGGCATTACTGATCCATTTCAATCTGGCTTCAGGTCTGGTTTATGGGATGGAAACTGCTTTGGTCACCTTGGTAGATGACCTACACCAGGAACTGGATAGGGGATCTGTGTCCCTGTTACTTTTGCTGGACCTCTCAGGGGCCTTTGATACTATCAACTACAGTATCCTCCTGATCAGTCTCCCTGGAATGCACTTAGGGGCACTTTCCTGTTGGGTCCAGTTCTTCCTGGAGGAGAGAACTCAGAAGGTGGTGCTGGGGGATTTCTGTTCAACACCCTGGCCACTGATCTGTGGGGTCCCCTCGGGGTTCTTTCTGTCTTGTTATTTAACATTTACATGAAACCATTGGGAGAGATTATCCAGAGTTAGAGGGATGGATGTCACCAATAACGCTGTACTGCAGCTAAAACTGTGCTCACGACCTGGGGTTCAAATCCCAGGTAGCCGGCTCAAGGTTGACTCAGCCTTCCATCCTTCCGAGGTCGGTAAAATGAGTACCCAGCTTGCTGGGGGGGGGGCAATGTGTAGCCTGTATAATTAAAATTGTAAACCGCCCGGAGAGTGCTTGTAGCGCTATAGGGCGGTATATAAGTCAAATAAATAAATAAGTGGATGACACCCAGCTCATGTCTGATTGCCACCTAAATCTGCGGAAGCTGCTTCAGCTCTAGATCAGTATTTGGTATCAGTAATGGACTGGATGGGGGTGAATAAAATTCAAACTTAATCCAGACAAGACAAGAGGTGCTTCTGGTCAGCTGAAAGGCAGATCAAGGTAAAGGGTGATGGCCTGTACTGGATGGGGTTCCAAGGCTTCTGAAGGCATGCACTTAGGGGCACTTTCCTGTTGGGTCCACTTCTTCCTGGAGGAGAGAACTCAGAAGGCGGTGCTGGGGGATTTCTCTTCAACACCCTGGCCACTGATCTGTGGGGTCCCCTCGGGGTTCTTTCTGTCTTGTTATTTAACATTCACTGATCTGTGGGGTCCCCTCGGGGTTCTGTCTTGTTTGTTATTTCACATTTACATGAAACCGTTGGGAGAGATTATCCAGAGTTTGAGGGATGGATGTCACCAATAACGCTGTACTGCAGCTAAAACTGTGCTCACGACCTGGGGTTCAAATCCCAGGTAGCCGGCTCAAGGTTGACTCAGCCTTCCATCCTTCCGAGGTCGGTAAAATGAGTACCCAGCTTGCTGGGGGGGGGGCAATGTGTAGCCTGTATAATTAAAATTGTAAACCGCCCGGAGAGTGCTTGTAGCGCTATAGGGCGGTATATAAGTCAAATAAATAAATAAGTGGATGACACCCAGCTCATGTCTGATTGCCACCTAAATCTGCGGAAGCTGCTTCAGCTCTAGATCAGTATTTGGTATCAGTAATGGACTGGATGGGGGTGAATAAAATTCAAACTTAATCCAGACAAGACAAGAGGTGCTTCTGGTCAGCTGAAAGGCAGATCAAGGTAAAGGGTGATGGCCTGTACTGGATGGGGTTCCAAGGCTTCTGAAGGCATAGTGCAATTTACAACACTAAGCAACAGGATTTGGGCCAATAACTGCATCTATCTATTGAGTCTTTAGGTCAGGTTGATTAACTTTAGTAAGCCTAGGGCACAGCTTAGAAGTTATGATTGGACTAAAGCTCCCAGAACTCCGCAGCTAGCATGGTGTAGATTGGGAGATTCTTGGAGTTTTACTCCAAAAAATGCAACATTTTCACAATCTTGTCCAGAGGTGAATTTTGCTACTTCTTCCCAGACCTACTGTGAGCCTTTCCAGTGCTGAAAATATCAAAGTTTCAAAACATTTTAAAAGCCCAGAAGGAACTTAAAGGTAACTTCCAGTCTGACAACACAACCACCTCAAAACACAGCCAACATAAAAAAGCTGAATTTAGCAAAACAAGGCACTGATTTGCTTTTAGAGAAGAATCGCTGTTATACCCATTTTGAATACAAAGTGTTATTGTAGTTGGCTGGGAGGCAGAATGTTTTGCTGTTGTAGATTCTGGACAGTTTTAAGTGAGTGTATGGCATCTGATTATGATTAATAACCAAATTACTCTTCCCAATTATAATTCCACATTCACTGCAGCATTTCATGCAGAGAGAAAAAGAAAAAAAAAGCCTTCACATCTGCTACTTTATTATCACCAGACCCTTTTCTTCCAAAATGCAAAAAAACAAAAATGAAAGAATTGTGGAATCATTTAACTGACACACCCAAATAAAGGATTAAATAAAACTTAATATTTAATAATTTTCCCTTACAAAAATCTTTTTCATAATGATTTATGAAACAGTCAGCTACATATATCTTAAAAAATATTTTAACTACTGCCTTTTACCCTGTAAGACTACTTAGAAGATAAATAGTGTAGTGCCCAGATGCAAGAGGGCACCAGACTAAATACCAAGGAGGACTGAACGTCTAATCAGAAGGCAATGCCATCACAGCTTGCTCCAAAAGCCCATCAAAGTGCATGTACAGGTAGAAGCAAACTTGGTGCTGACACTTAATGTTGGGACTATGCACAACAAGCCTTGCAGATATTCTGGTGTTTAAAGAGGTATGTTTTAGAACAAAGCATCTAAGCATTCATTATATCAAAAAACCATCGGGAAAAAGATCCAATTTCCATCCTATCACATAAAGGACATCCGGTATGTATTAGGTCTGTTGAGGAGTTTCTTTTTTTAATGCTACAGTGGTCTTACAGATTCTTTAGACAATGCCTCCTCCACGCAATATATATATATAAGGGAGTCAACATCATGGATTTCAAGACCATGTTCCTTAATTTTAACACCAGAGGACCATCATGAGCTGTTCTGCGCATCCAAGTTGGAAAAAAAGTCATCAGGTAGTTCTCCAAGAAGCTGATCAAGATCATCTGCACAGACAGAATAAGAAGACAGCCAAAGTTACAAACAGAAATAAGCCATGCATGCCCATATATTGGTGTAGGTAGCTTTTAGCCCTTAAAGTGACTTCAAAAAGCTTCTACAACTAATTCAAGTCCCAGTCCTCTAGGTGGGGAGGAAGGGAGTGAAGAAAAGGATTAGTAGAAACTGTTGAGCTTCCCAACTTTGACTCATCATTTGCTTCAGCTCTCCTGTCTGCAGGCACATGGCTCACTCCCCAACAGGTTTCCCCTCAAAGAATGAGGCCCTGGACAGAAAAAAGGTCACCTACCCATATGGGAATCCTATTACCCCATTCTTACTGTGTGCCCAGGGGAGGGGAAAAGAGACGGGAGAAAATCTGTTAGATTATTCTTCCAGTGAGTAAGATTATATTGAGGACTAAGGACATTTTCTATTTCACTGACACCATTTCATTTCTGTTGTGGAATTCATATGCTGAGAATTTCTGCCCCACTTCCATCATTTAAAGGCATTTTTAGTCCTTAACAGTCTATCTATGAGGGTAGTCCAAGTCCCATCTAGAAGTTGTGGAATTCATATGCTGAGAATTTCTGAGAATTTCTTCCATCATTTAAAGGCATCGGTAGTCCAAGTCCCATCTAGAGTAGTCTCCTATATCCTGTATTGTGAGTACAGGCCAGCAGTGTTGGTCCCTACTCAACCTCAGACATCTTGGGATGCTCCTTCAGGTAAGCTGCAAACTGCCCTGGTTTTATGGAAAAAAATTTCAGCAACTCTGCAAAAACTTTATAATCTAATCTACCCCAAAGATTCAGGTTTTTAGAACATTGGTATCTTCTGGCTTTTTGGTTCTGGTGGGGAAAGTATGCTGAAAGGAAATGCAGTCAAATGACAACAGTTAAGAGGAAGAAAAAGGGTGCTTTGCTGTGCATTCACTTTGCCCCTTGTCCTGGCCAGTTTCTCTATGTTCCTAGGCACACTTATCAAATTGCCACCCCCACAACCCACGAGGGATATAATCTCCATTTCTGAGGAAGAGCAAAGACTCCCAAGGATGAAATTATACCTTATCCTCACACAATGGACCCATTGCTGGTATTCCATGTTCATACATTAGCCACTGTATATCACCTGCTAGTCTGGAAGGTATTAGATGTTTGAATGTGCAGTGGAAGCTGGCAGTATACAAACGCAGAGGCTGCATCTGATTCTGCAAGGCTTCTCTGTAATGGTCCATGTTCCCTATTTTCCATGCTCCGGAGCTGAATGGTGGCAGTGAGACAGAAAAAGAAAAGAAGGCAAACATCCATACATTGCTGTTCAGTAACATATTTACCGGAATCAACTTTTTCAGCCTCTGGCGATGGTACATTCAAAACTGTTTTTCCTGTTCTGGAAATCGATGGTGCTGGTGTCAATGAAGATCCTTTATCAGATGTGTGCTGGGAGTAGTTTCTGTCCTTCTCACAGCTTTCTCCTCTGTGGTAGCCTGTTCTAGCCATGGCAGCTAGGATATCTGAAGGAGGATTTGACTGGAATTCTGACACAACCTACATTCACAAGAATCCAAAAGATAGATAAGAAGCTTAGTGTTTATGGTCCAGTGAGAGCTGGACCATAAAGAAAGCTGACCACTGAAGAATTGATGCTTTTGAATTGTGGTGCTGGAGGAGGCTCTCGAGAGTCCCCTGGACTGCAAGGAGAACAAACCTATCCATTCTAAAGGAAATCAACCCTGAGTGCTCACTGGAAGGACAGATCCTGAAGCTGAGGCTCCAATACTTTGGCCATCTCATGAGAAGAGAAGACTCCCTGGAAAAGACCTTGATGTTAGGAAAGTGTGAAGGCAAGAGAAGGGGATAGAGGATGAGATGGTTGGACAGTGTCATTAAAGCAACCAACATGAATTTGATACAACTCCGGGAGGCAGTGGATAATGAATGCTGCACTCCTCACAATTGTATCATTAAGCAGTGACCCTACATTATAGCCAGCTTCCAATATCAATAACGAGAAAAGATCAATGGAGCTGCTCAGGAACATGCTGGAGTAGTCACTCACTTTGTCTGGTTATGCTATGCTGACTGGCTGAAACTCAACAAGGTCTAAAGTTAAAGAAAACCACCTTTAGCTGTATTTTACACAATGGGCATGAGATGTTCTCAACATATGGACAAAAGCTTTATCACTGAACAATGACAACTCACTGCTGCTCGGCCTAACCTTCTTAATAGATGTGATTTGGAAGAATGAAAGGAAAACAGCATGAACAGCATTTGCGCATGGACAGGTGTAACCCTCTAGATACTGTTAGTCCAATTTCCATCAACCCTAGCCAACACAGCCAATGATGACAGATGACTGCATGCTTGAATCCTAACCTTATGAACAGAGGCATAACCAACAAAGTCCCAAGTACCCTATCCCATCATAAGAAATATGAGAATTGGTGCAGGAATGGGTTTCAATAGGGGTCTCCCATATTTATGCCGAGCATAACCACCTTTGCTTTAAGCTCTCTACCCACACTACTGTGCTTGGAATCATACACTTCTTATATCAAAGACTTTTTAGTTTTATTCATTAATTAGAAGCCCCACAAAGTTTCCAAAAAGGCACTGTCAGGATTCTCTCCAAAGGAGCATCTTGCATTTTATGAGGGCCTTCTGCTGGATAGCAATGTGGCTCATGGTGACTATTTGCATGTAGATGGAAATTTGCATGTCTAGCCATTATACACATGAAAGAATTAAATGTAAACCATGCACAGGCAGAACTGGGAGGACATTTGAAATAAATATCTCATTCAGGTGTCTCCTCAATAAGCAGACTGAACCTAGCCTAGTGTGAAAGCATGCAGAAACAATAATAAGATTGAAAGTATTAGTAATAATAAAGATGAAATGCATTTGGTTGCAGAAGCTATATGGCAGGGTTAAGAAATGAGTATCCCCCAGATTACTGGACTGCAACTGTCATTATCTCTCACCATTGGTTATCCTAATGGAGTTACAATTGAACATTATCTCCAGGGTCACCCATTTCCATTCACTGCTCTCACTTTCGCCATGTTTTAACTGAGAGAGTCTTGAAAGCTTAACCTTGGAAGGCAGTTCAAATAAGTGGATAAACCATATAGTCATCACAATCTTTCTTATGGAACATAAATTAGGTTTTTGACTCTGGCACTACAAATTCTACATCAAGAAAATTTATTTCTACAACTGTCGCATCATCCATTTCACACTTGTTATTAATGTATACAGTTTGCTAGTCATGAGGACAGCAAGGAGCTACGCAGAACACTGAAGGCCAACTTTCCTCACCACTGCTGGAACTCATAATCAGCTTCCTCCCTTCTCTCTAAAATTTCGCCAAGTATTCCACACATACTTTTTTCCACGATACATATAACTACATTATGTTCATAACAAAAATGTGTCGTGTGGTAGCTCATTACCATTAAGTTGCATTGTTCCAAATGGTAAGAAGAACCCCATCTTTAAGCACAAATACATACCTAACCTTCTTTACATCTTGCCAACCATGATACAGTGAAGAAATATGGCAGCACCTTACCTGTGGTGGCACCATCTCCATTCTTTCCCTAATCTCTTGGTACGACTGAAGAGACTTCCCAATGTTATAGCCTGGTGGATATATCTTTACCAGGTTACTGGGTGTCACATTGAGGTAATGGTTGCGATGGGATGGAGAGAAGACACCCACCTGTGAAACCAAGATGAGTATCAATGCTTTTTCAAACCCAGCTTACAGCACCTTGAATCTTTTCATGGATAACCCAATCCTGCCTCAGTTCTCTCTAAAAAAAAGCAGAATTTGCTCCATTTGCCCATGGTCTGTTCAAAGTCTTGACCTCCAAGAGAGAGATAAAATTATACTTTCTTCTCTTCACTCTAACCCAATATCCAAATTCCACACGACAGAAGGGAATATTCTGGTTCCAAAGATAACAGAAAAGGAACATCCTTGTCCCTTTTCACTGCAGTGAAAAGAGGTGAAAGGCAGGGCCATATGCTTCACTGCTTCAACAATGAAGAGGGGGAGCTCACAGCCATGAGATAATGAAGTGAACAACCCAGCTTGCAAAATATGGGGTATAGGGAAA